GGCTTCGATTTTCTTGGGGTCGACGTGAACTCCTTGAGCGCTCACCATGTGTCCTAGAAATTGGACCTTCTCCAGGGCGAATTCGCTCTTGGACAGTTTGACGTAGAAACGTTCCCCTCGAAGAATTTCGAAGACGCGTCGCAAGTGTTCGACGTGCTGCTTCATGTCGCGCGAGTAGATGAGTATGTCGTCCAGGTACACCACCACGCATTCGTCCAGAAGTGGTCGTAGAATGTGGTTCATTTCGGCTTGGAACGTTGCCGGCGCGTTGGTGAGTCCGAATGGCATGACCAAATACTCGTACGATCCGTACCGAGTTCGAAAAGCATTTTTGTGGATAGAGTTGTCCGCCATCCGTATCTGCCAATATCCGGACCGCAGATCCAGTTTGGAAAATACCGTAGCTCCCCGAAGCTGGTCAAGCAGGTCATCGATTCGCGGTATCGGATATTTATTCTTGATGGTCTGCTTGTTAAGGGCTCGGTAGTCGATGCACATGCGCAGGCTTCCGTCCGGTTTCGGTGTGAAGAGTACTGGGGCACCGTACGGCGAAGTGGATGGCCGGATGAGTCATTTGGCTAGGAGATACTCGATCTGCTTTTTCATGTCAGTCAGCTCCGTAGGGCTGAGCCGATATGGTGCTCGGAAGGTCGGCTTCGAACCCGGTTCCTCCACGATCTCGTGTTGATGCGTTCGGTATGGCGGTAGCTCGTTCGGAAGATCGTCCGGAATAATATCTTGGAACTCCTTCAGTAATTCCTTGATTTTTTCTGGAGTTTCCGAGGCTTTCTCTCCGTCATTCTCCACCTATGTTGCTATCGCCAGGAACCCGGTGTCGGTCCGCTTCACATCCTTCTCGAATCGTGCGAGTGTCTCCGTTGGGATATCTCCAGTATCGTCCCAGTTGGGTAGCTGTACTCTCCGTCCATTGTTGTAGATGCTTGCGGTGCGGTTCACCCAGTTGATCTCGGGGTTGAATTTTTTAAGGAAGTCTCGCCCGAAGATCAAGTCAAGCCCTTTGATGTTGGTGATGGGGAGTGCAGGTCTCCAGCGCAGTGGTCCAATTTGTAGATGTAGCACTGCTTCGCCGTGTACTGGTAACTTGCTGCCGTCCACCATCGTTGCAGAGAATCCTGAAGGCTTGTACTCTTCCCGAAGTCGGTCGATCATTGCCTTGTCGTAGACGGTGTGTGATGCTCCGCTGTCCACGAGTGCTTGGAGGCGTCGTCCTTTGCAGATGACCTCGAGCACGAGGGGCAGTCGTTGCTCGGAGTACCCAAAGATAGTTTCATTGATTGGGTCATAGGGTACATCCCAATATTCCGTACACACCTTTGTGTTGCTGTCTACTCCTGAGCTGGCAGCTGGCCGAGGCTGCTTGGAGAACGGCTCTTCTCCAGGGCCCGGAGTTTCCCTGACGACTGTGCGCGTCACTGATGCCGAAGAACTGGATGCATCCGTAGGAGGAGTTCGGGGTTGGTGCAGCTTCTTGTAGACCCCCAGCTTTCTCTTGAGCTGCTTCAGCTCCACCGACGTCTTCCCTGGGGAACGGGTAGTCGTTGTGGGCTGGTGTCGGGAGAGGACGTTGACTCCGTGGAAAGGTCGGCTTCTTTCCACACTCCTTAATTTGGTCCCCAGTTTGTCCGGTACCGGTATAATCTCCACAGCTATCTGCTTCTTTTGGAGTCCCTCCCGAAATTTCTCCAAGGCTCTAGCCCCTCGAACATCATAAGTTTTCATTAAAGCATCTTTATAAGATAACTTTAACGAATTCTTATAATTTCTTGGGTCTTCAAGGAGTTTCCCTGTCTCGGCAGAGTCTTTTTTCGCGGAGTCTGACTTTTCCTCGGCGATTTTCCCTGGCGAAGACTGGTCGTGGGGTGGAGATTTTCCCCCATCATTTCCTCCTTCTCGCGTCGAATCAGCTTCGTCGAAGTTGATTTTTCCGGAATCCCGCGGCCGCTTTCGGATCTTTTTATTTTCGCCAGCTAGATCCGCAATCACTGGCGACTCCCGTTTTTTGTCTTCTGATTGGCCAAAGGAATTCCGCCACTGTTGCGTGCCCGATACTCTGCGCGTGCGGCCTTCATTTTGTTGCAGTCGAAGATTCGGTGGCCCGGCACCCCGCAAAAATCACACGTGTAGTTGGTGTTTTTCGGACGTGGCCGCCCCTCGAATCTGTCGACTTCCATCGGGTCGGCGAACGTGGGGTGAGCCGAGCGGTCGCCTTGTCGCGTACTGCCGACGTGCGTCCGTCGTGCTCCGGCGTTGACCATGTCGAAGTGCTCCGCTGCCGAAACGACGCCACTGTAGCTCGCGTAGTTTGACGCTGCGACTTGTCGTTTGACTTCGGTCTTCAGCCCGGCGAGGTACGCTTGTACTTTTCCCCTTCGGTCAGGTCGGGAATGCGGTTATAAAATTCCTCCATCTGCTGCGTGTACTGCGCTACACTCCCGAACTGTCGGTGTCGATGAATTTTTTCCCGGGCAAGGAAACTCGAATTTATCGGTTCGAATCGTTTCAGCAGGTCGGCGCGGAACTGCTGCCACGTGGCTTCACCGTGGATGAAAGTACTGTTACCGCCAATCCACTCGAGTGCCGGCCCTCGCATCAGTGTCGCCGCGAGTCGTACGCGTTGACCGTCCCAGACTGGCGAGCTCCATCCGACGGCTGCGAAGTAGATCTCCATCCCGGCGATCCATCTGTGGGCGTCGGAGTTTCGTTCGCTCGGATCGAACGGCTCAGGTGGGCGCGGTTTCGGAGCCTCGAGAAACTGCTGCGACTGCTGCGTCGTCGTCGTTGTCGTCTCGTGCTGCGCTCCGGCGAGTCGAGTTACTCGCTCGAACTGGTTTCGCCACGCTTCGCGATCCGCTCGCATTTCCTCCTGAAGGGCTGCGATGCGCGCGAAGAGCTGCTGGGTAACCTCGGCGTTGTCGAAGGTTGCCATCCTGTTCAAAACACGCACGGAGGGGGTAATTCGAAAATCGCGGAGCTGGTGCTTACCAGAATCGGCGTCGAATTGGTCGCCCCCGACGGTTTTTCGAGGCAGGATCCCCGCTGCTGCTGCTTAGCTGAGCGCGGTCGAGTGAGAAAAGCTCTGATTACCAAGTGTCACAGGATCGAATGTGTCGAGGAAAGGTTGCACTATCGATCAGTACAAGGCGCTTTTATACTTCCATAGTACATCAGGTAACCAGGTTTATCTTATCCTACGGGAATAGACCCTTCTAGAAGATAGAATCACCCTGCGTATAGCCACGCGAGGCTATTGGCTTTAAGGGATTACAGCAGGATTACGCTAGATAGAGCGCACCAATACATCCCAAGCCTGGTCGGTGATAAACTTATAATAGCAGGATAAACCAAAGGTTAATGGGAAAGGAAGAATAGGAAACCAAATGAGATGCGGTAAAAAGAGGAATGAAAAGGGAAGGAAATAAGAAAAGGCCAAGTGGTGTAACGGGGTCGTACTCTCACAGCAGATCTCCAGGGACAGAGCAGCGCGCACCATCACTCTCACCCAGTCACACTTGGTGCGCCAGGTTTTTCAGAGGTTCGGTCTTCAGTTCTCCGCACAGCCCACTCCTCTTCCAGTAGATCACAAGCTCTCTGCTCCAGTTCCTGAGGAGTCGGCAGAGCCCAGTGGTCCTTACGCAGAGCTGGTGGGTTGCCTCATGTACCTGATGACTTCCAGTCGTCCAGATCTCGCATACCCTCTCAGCATCCTGGTTCGCTTTGTGGCCACAGGCAGACACCGACCTCAGCACTGGTCCGCAGCTAAGAGGGTTTTGCGTTATCTCGCGAGTACATCAGGCATGGGGTTAGTGCTGGGAGAACGCAGGCCAGTGGTCCTTACTGGGCATACTGACTTAGGTGAGCGGCCTAGCTCTGCCCCAGTCCTGTACGCTGACAACAGGACCATGATCCTCCTGTGTCAGTAGCCTCGACTTGAGGGCAGAGCAAAGCACATCCAGCTGCGGTACTTCCTCCTGCGCGAGCTACAGCATTGTCGCCAGGCTCGCGTAGTACACTTGGCCTCGGGTGCCAACACAGCTGATATCTTTACGAAGGCGCTTGCGCCTAAAAATCATCAGCGGCACTGTGTATAGTTAGGTGCCGTTCCTATAGCCTCTCACATGCTAGGGCCTTGGCTATGTACAGACCTTTCTATGTTTTTTTTACCCTTGACTGGCCTTGTGGCCTCTCCCAGTGGCTGAACTAGTAGTGCCGCCCTGGACTTGCTCTTGCATTGGTCTGTACTCGTTTGACTGGTCTTTAGACCCTTGCCTCAGAGGTTGGACTAATAGTGTCACCCTGAGTTGCTCGCACTCACGTCAGGAACCGACCCTATGCAGTCTAGGGGGTGTGTCAAACATATATTGTTATGTTTGTATAGAATGTATAGGTTTTTACATTAGAGGGTACAGCCCTTAGGTCATTGGAGGGTACTCATGCCTTCTACTAAATTCTTCAATTCTGATAGGCTTGGTTGTATGTATTTTTATTTTTATTTTTATGTGAAATTCACGCTTCAAGATGTTTGTTGAAGCCGTGGTGATGCGCGTTCAAATCAGGTGATGAGTTTTGCCTGCAACCCAGGTCGATCAGGGCCCCCTGACAATCAATGCGCATTCATACCCACCTGGTTTGCTTAGCTGGAAAACACAACGAGGGTGAATGTGGTCGAATCATCTGGACTCCAGATGTCGAGCATTCCGCGATTCATGAAACAGGAGGATGACCTTCCGCTCCTCAGAAGAAATGGGAGATACCCGAGCAGATAGGGGTGCCTCTGCTGGGTCGAAATGAACGAAATTGACCATACGCGCCGTTCCAAACCGCTGCCTGCCGCACTGAGAGCACACAGCACCGCAACTCTTGAGGGATCCTTGCACAACTTGCTTTCCTAGATTCTTTTTCCGGATAAATTTGAACGTCCCGGCTCCACACCACACAGAGAGGACGACTCCTCCAGATTCCTCCCTGAAGCAAGAGGTTCCTCCCTTCACCCCCTGGGCATGGCGCATCGCATGTCTTAGTTCCCAGTCACATGCCTGCCTTGCCTTGTCATCTGATTAGGCAGAATTCTCTTACTCCCCGGAATATCATCCGGTTTTCTGTGGTGCAGGTGATTCACGACCTTCAGCCAGGCTAGTGTAGAACACGAACAGTGACTCAGGAACAGCCGTCGGACCGCACCGCAGCCATAGTGGAAAACAGTAGGCGATTGCGCCAGCTGTTCTTCTGTCGTGACCAACCGCTCTTTTGTGCTATGGTGCACACTATGCACCTGTACAGTAGACATGTGTCTGTATGGTCTTGTCCCAGCCGGCTTCCGTCGGACTGAATCCATCGAATGGACGGACATGACTACGCCGCCGGTCACGGTGTCCGTTCTCCCAGTGTGCCATCAGGGGAAACTAGGTGTGGCTGGCATTTACGACGTCAGGATTGAGGAGTGAGATGAGATGAGATCGAATCGATTTCTTTCTTCCTCCAGTTGAGTACAGTACCGGCAGGCACGGAGCCATGGCCGGCTACCTCGCAACAGGTTACTTGAACTTCTCGAGTGCTCAGCACAGCACAGAACATTGCCAGTGAGCCATGGCCGCATGGCCTACAGAGCGTCCTGTGCGATATCTGCTATTATTCGATCCGGCACAATTTCCGTCGCAATCTCATCTCGGCGAATGCAGTGCGTCCGCCGTGCGTCTGGCTTGGAGGAATTTTCTAGATTCGTGATGCATGACAAGTTCTCTCGGAGAGAGGCTCCCTCCCTTTTCTCATAAATCCACTTCAAAGCCGTCTTCGTTACTGTACACAGGAGAAATTAGGTGAGGATCCCCTCCAGAGCCATTTCCCCCAGAGCCATTCTTGTGTTCTTCTCTTAGCGAGGATCAGACGCTATAATGGCTCTCTCCGACACGGAGGGTCGGCCTTGATTGCGTTCGTTTTAGAGCTCTAACAACGCGACTGCAGTACAGTAGCGCGTTTACAAGACGCCACTGCACGAATGTTGCCGTCCGACCCGGCGAATAACAACTGCGGACTCCTCCTCAGTGAGTTCTCTCTGACCCAACCTTGCGTTGTCTAAGTTAGAGTCTGGGGTTCTTGAGCCTTTTCGAGGCCCAATCCGGAGCTTCCGTTTTGCGATGAAAATCGTCAGTCTATTGTAGTCCCTTACCCCGACTCAAGCGGTCACAGCTCAGCGGAAATCTTCGTCAGATCTGGCGAGGCGGCTTCAGGCGCTTGGGAGCCTCACGGACTAGGTCTCCTGATCATTCCTGAACATTGCAAAGAGATTTCCGACCTGAAACGGCTCGCTCAGAGCAGTTTCAGTCGGCAACAACTTCAGATCTGAGCTTCAATCTTGTTCCCAGACTCCAGCAGACTCTCAACTTCAGCTTGAAACTTCAGCTTGAAACTTTAGCTTGAAACTTCTGCTTGAAACTTCTGCTTGAAACTTCAGCTTGAAACTTCTCTTCTAAAATGCTAGCGACAGCTGGTCCCCTAGCTCCAGCAGCAGCGTCACGGTCGGACCTCGGAATGACATCAGCTTCAGGAGCCGAGAATGGCTTCTGTAACAACCAAGGCAGCTTCAGTGCATGGAATGGCGACAGATACGATCTGAGGCGGGGGAACCCGTTTTCCAGCTTCGGGGAAGTGACTTCTGCTCAAAATGACTCCGAGCCTGACTCCGAGCCTGACTCCGAGTCTGTTTCCGATTTCGAATTGGAGCCCACTGGCCTCAGAAGCAGGTCAGCATCTGCTGCCGGCCCAGCAGCATCAGCGCTCACCAATGCACCAGCAATTTCTGGTGGTGGACGCTGCAGTAGCCTCACCGCCAATCCTCCCTCGCCTCTGGCTAATTTCCAGCTTCACGGAAGCGTCAGCAGGAGGCGGTCCTTTGGCGGCAGTAGCGGCGGGAGCGGAGGCAGAGGCGGAGGCGGAGGGGAAGCGGGAGGGGCAGGGGGAGGGGGAGGGAGAGGGGGATGCGGAGGGGGAGTCGGAGGCATGGTAGCAGAGGATTTGGATCTGCTGTGCCTGGAGAGCAAGCTGAGCCTGCTGGAGTCCCAGCGCGAGCTGAACGCTGTGAGATGCCAGCGCTTCGTCGACATGCTGCGATCGGCGGAAAGAGGAGAGACGGCGGGAGAGGAGGCTGCTGCGTCGCCAGTTGACATGGCCCCACTGAATGGCCGCTCCAATTGTCGGATGAATGGTCGGATTAATCGCTGCCGATCGGCTTCAACTTTGTTGGAGAGGAGCTGCTGCTGCACTCCTACCGGTAGTATTGGCGCTGCTGGCCTGACTGCAGTACAAGCTGCTGGCCGAGCTGGGGGTTGCTGTGCGTCTCGGGACTGCACTGTTCGTTCAACTCATCGGCCGAATGGAACTGCCATCTCCTCAGCCTCGTCTGAATCAGCTGATGGATCACCTGATGACTCTGACAATGCATCAGACGGCACTGCAGGTGGTCCTTGCTCTCATTCCTGGACCGACAGAAGGCTGCTTCAAGCTCCACGCATGGAGGTTACCAATGTGCCCATGGATTGGTATTCTAGTGTTCGCAGTCCCCGTCGCAGCAGCTTCAGCCACTCTTCACCGTCGTCCCGCTCCAGAAATCACAGATTAGATTCGCCGCCAGTTGCTCCCCGCTCCAGACACCGCAGATTAAGTTCAAGCCCCAGGCCCTCTTTGGAATGTCTGAGGTTAAGCCATTCGGTAACGAATCTGAAGGCGCTTGAGAGTGCTCGTGGTGGGGAGATCGATGGTGCAGAGTTGCTCTTTTCAAGCCCATCCCGACTGAACCCGGAGGTTCTTGAGAGTTTTGATGGAACCCGGAGTTTTGTTGGTCAGAGACGGAGCCTGTCCAACCGGGCTAGTGGGAGCAGCAGGAGCAGCAACAGCAGAATGCTCAATCCAAGACGCCTCGGCTCTCAAATGTCACGATCGTTTTCCAGTCCTCGTCAGCTGTCGGATCTTTCGTATTCGGAGAGCTCATGGAAAGCAAAGGACACCTCTCCTCTTGTCACTGGTGGAACAGGGCGCGTCCCCTCTTATAATCACACTCTCCCACCATTGATTTCGCGGCTGCAGAATTTTGGAGCACAGTCACCATCAAGGCCTACAAAATCGCACACGTATCCGAGGCAACAGCAGAACAGGCTGCCTGGAGGCACAAGAAGTTGTGAAATGAGAATTTCTCAGACTCACCCAAGTCTCTGGAGCACAAGCATGGCTTGCCAAGACGATGAGTTCGATGCCCCCCGTGATGTGCCTTGCCGCAGTGGCTCTGCAAAATATTTCTGATACAACAATAGAGGTAGAGGGAATGATATGATAGAATATAGTAGAAGAGTATATGTATATGGTATACTATCAATAGAGAAGATTCTAGGTGGATCAATTGCATTTGTTAAGGGGTGAAGCCAATTTGAAATAGCAGGCAGGTGTGTCAGGATTTACCATGTAAACCGCGGTACACAGAAGCGAGTGTTCCACACAAAAGAGCGTCGTCACCATTGGTCGACACAGCTTTTCCCCAGCCTTGGGAACACCTATGGGGAAAAGCGGCGGCGTTGGGAATGCCGCAGGTAGGGAAGCAGACCGAGGTTTGCAGGGAGGCTGGACGGGAGGATGCGTTGGTTTGGTTTGTTCCTGTCTGGTTTGGTAAGCTTGGTTTGCTCTTGAGGTATGGTTTGGTTTGGTTTGGAACAACGAAAGAGAGCGCTCTGTGTATGTGTTTGAGCGTGGTCAATTACGGTGATGTACTCTGGCGTGAGTCTTTCGTGATCCCTACCAGCAGCCACCCCCTGAGAAATTGCTTCCACGTCATCTTGACTTGACTGATGAACACTTCCTCATTTCTGTGGCTGGAGGAGGGTTTGCGTTTGCGTTTGCGTTTGCGTTTGCGTTTGCGTTGCGTCGCGTTGCGTTGTGTTCCGTTTTATGGCAGATAAGCACTCCAGGCGCTGCGTCCCTCGGTCCCTGTGATCAGCTTCATCAAGCTTCCATTCGGAGCCTCTAAGTAGCGAAGCCAATGCTCGTCTCATGAAATAAAATCGCCTACTAATTCTTTCTGTCGTTCAGCCGATTTCGACCTTACTGTATTCTGCTTGTTTCTGCTAAATCCGGAACCTCCCTCTGCTAGGGAGAGTAGCATGGATCTGCTGCTGCAATCCTCCTCCGTCCGCCGTCCCCCTTTCCCCGCAGGACCGACCAAATCGGGGACTTCAGGAGGAGTATCGTGCCTTACCTTTAATATCAACCCAAAGGCCTATGATAGCGGTTTCACTTCGTCATCTTCCTCTCGCCAAAGGCTCGCGCGCTTCGGCGGAAATTTCGATCCCCGGGCAGATCGCGCCTTAGTCTCACTTACCTCGCGCCGGCCTGTTCCTGTAGTTCCTAGTTTCCGCAATTCGAGAAGTCAGCCCGGGCGATCTTCTCTCGTTACTGTCACACGCTCAGCGTACCACGACGAGTCTAGAGTCACAGGCGGCGCGGGTACCGCCGCCGGCGTTAGCGGTGGCAGCAGCAGCGCCACGACCGATGTAAGGCGCGACTTAATATCCGAATTAAGGAGCGATGCGCAAAGCAGGGGTCGTAGCGGCCGTAGCAGCCGTAGCGCCGTCGAGTGGCAGCGCGACAAGAAGGGGCGCGGCGGGCAATGGCGGCTGCGACGGCTGCACGGGGAGGGGGCGAAGGGGATGAAAGGCGCGGGGGAGAGGGGCGTGGGGGATAGACGGCGGAAGGAGGAGGGAAGGCGGACGGAGGAGGCGGGAGCACAGCAGGGCGTGGACGATGTTGTCGCAAAGGCTGTAGCAGATGCGGCCGCTATTAAGGCTGCTACAACCGGGGTTTCGTCTGTCGCTGCACGCAATGCCGCTCCTGGCGCTACAAACGACAACTTTTCCTCTGGCGCTACAGCCGACATTTTGTCCAACGAAGCGGATGGCTCAGTTACCCTGCCATCGTCTCCTGTCTCAACCGGTCCTGTCTCCGCTCCTGTCTCTCCCCCTGTCCCGATCCCTGGCCCTGTATCTTCTCCTTCCGCCCCCTCCATTCCTCCTCCTGCTGCTCCCAGTGAGACCACCCGCGAAGTTTCCTTCCATGTACCAGTCACTGCAGCTGCAGAGCCCTCGGAAGCTTCTGGTAAGTTGGGTCTAGAAAGCGAACGCGGTGAAGGAGTGCCACGTGGCGAAGGGCTAGTGGCTGAGGTTGGGGTTCCCGCAGGAAGGGTTGCTGAGGAGAGAGGGAGTGAGATTTGGAACTCCCCTTTGCCAGGAGGTGGATGGCTGTGGGCGGCTGCTTTTGTCGTCAGCGCTGCTACAGTGGCGTGGATCTGGGGACGAGCGGGTGGGAAGAAGGAGAAGCAGAAAGAAAAGCTGCAGGAGCAGGGAAAGCGGCTTGTAACGGGTGATGGGACTGGCAATAAGGAGGACGGAATGACGTGGAAGGAGTGGGAGAAGGAAAAGATAAAAGAAAAGAAGGTGGAAGGGTGGAGGAGGAGGGGGGAGCAGGAAAGATTGGAGCGAGAGAGAGCAGAGAGAATGATGAAGAGATGGGAGGGGGGCGAGGAGGGGGTAGAGGGGCGAAGTGGGGAAGGTGGTAATGAGGCAGGGTTCGGGGTTTATGTGGGGGTTCAGGGGTTAGGGGGAGCGGGGGCCGAGGAGATGAGTGGTGGGAAGGTGAATGGTGTGGCTGGGCGGGATAGAGGAGGGGAAGTGGATGTGATTGTAGAGGGGGATTGGGAGGGTTTAGGGGCAAGGGGAAGGGAAGAGGGGAAGTGGAGGGAAGAGGGGAGGTGGAGGGAAGAGAGAGGTGGTGATGTGGTTGATGTGAGTGCTGAGGTGACTGAGAGGAAGGAGGAAGGAGGTAAAGAGGGCAGTGGCAAATCAGGAAGCAGAGAAGGGGTTGTAGTAAAGAAGCAGCAGCAGGAAGAAGGGGAAGAAGCGGAGATGGAGGAGGGGGAGGAGAAGGGAGAGGAGCAGAAGGAGAATGGGGAGGGGGAAGCGGAGGAGCGGCGGCGGCAGGAAGCCATGGCTGAGATCCGCAAAAGCGCGGACTTGGTGAGACGGCAGGAGCGGGAGGAGAGGGAGGAGAGGGAGAGGCAGAGGAAGATCAGCGCGGAAATGCAGAAGCTGCTGTTGGAGAGGAGGAGAAGAGGCGAGGTGGTTACTAAGCAGGTGCTGGAGCAGGTGTGGGACGAGGCGAGTGCGGCCGTGCTGGGGAGAAAGGTGGGGCGGGGGGGAGGGGGGGTGATGGAGTATGAGGAGGAGGGGGAAGAGGAGGACGATGAGGAGGAGGAGGATGAGGTGGAGGAGGGTGGGGAGGGAGAGGAAGAGGAAGAGGAGGAGGATGGAGCAGGAGAACGAAGAGTAGCAGCTAAAATCAGCAGCGGTAGTAGCACTACCAAGAGAGCACGGGCTCGCATAATCACTTCACTCCCACCTGCTGCCGCTGCTGCTGCTGCTGCTGCTGCCGCTACTCCAGTTGCTTCTGCTGTTACTTCTGCTGCTGCTGCTGCTGCCGGTGGTGATACTACACCAGCCACTGCTGGCAGTGCTGCTGGTTCTGCTGCTGCTGCCGCTACTGCTGCATCTGTTGCTCCCGAGACTTCCCCTGCTCTTGCTGTTGCTGCTGATGGTGCTGGTGTTGCTGCTGCTGCTGCTGCTGCTCCAGTTGACAATGCTGCTGCTGCAGCGGCAGGGGAGGGTAGGAAGCGGCGCAGAGTGCGGGTGATTACAACGCTGCCCAGAGACACTGTAACGAGTGCTACTACTGTAACAGGTGGCTCTGTGGCGAGTCCGAGTGTAGCAGGTAGCACGTCTGCTGCCAAAGATGATGATAGCACCGTGGATGGGGGAAAAGGCAGCGCGAGAACAGCAGCAGCAGCAGCAGCAGGTGGGGAAGGAGAGAACAACAAGGAGCAGAGGGGAGTGGATGGGCGGAGGGAAGTAGAGGAGCAGAGGGAAACGGATGTGCAGATGGGCCTAGATAAGCAGCAGAGCGACCTAGGCAAGCAGCAGAGGGAGCTGGCGGACGCTAAGAGGAGAGTGAGGCAGAGAGCAGGGTCTGCTGCGCCGTGGGTTACGGACGAGCGGCTGGTAACCCTAGTGGCGCGCGTGATGCTGAACGACGAGGGGGGGCGGGACTCCATGCACGGGCTGAGTCAAGACGAGCAGGAGACGTTCTTTGACGCGCTCAATACGCTGTATGGGGACGGCAGCAACGGGTTCGGCAATAAGGGGGATGAAGTGTCTGGCTTGGTTGAGAACTTAGAATATGGCAGAGGTGAGTCCAGCTGGGCTGAACAGCATGCATGCATCACTGACCCAGGCGGAGCAGGAGACGTTCTTTGACGCGCTCAACCGGCTGTATGGTGATGGTGATGGTGATGGTGGTGGGGAGGGAGGCAGGGGAGGCTCAGTCTTAGACTTGATTGAGAACTTCGAGTACGGAAAAGGTGGGTTCTTTTGTTCTTGTTTTTGTTTTCGGTTTTTTCTCCATTTCCCTGTTTTTTTCCCCATGAAACACCTAACCTCCATGTTCGTTCCCTCCTTAGGTTTCCGGATGTCACGGATCACTTGTCCATGTCCCCCTTTCCCCCATTTTTCGTCTCATCAGGCGGCATTACTGTGGACGATGCCATGGATCCGGGGGTGCGGAGAATGAGAGGGGGTGGTGGAGGCAACAGAGATGGTGGTTGTTGATCCACACCACATGCCGTCACAACAACCTTGTGCTATCCCGTATCCCCACATCCCCCCCCCATCTCCCACCAGACGGCATCTCTGTGGATGACCCTATGGATATGGTGGTGCCGAGAATGAGAGGGAGTGGTGGAGGCAACAACGGCCTGGGCACAGCACCATCGGCATCACCAGCTGCTGCAGCAGCAGCAGCAGCACCACCACCACAATCGGCAACATCAGCTGCATCACCAGCAGAGTATTCGCCTGCAGCACAGCCCCCACAGGCTCTCTTCGAAGCAGCTAATGCGGCTGGCAGATTAGCGGATGGCCCCACAGACGAGTTTCTGGTGCAGGCAGTGTCGCAGTACGTGAACAATCCTGGTACAAGCACGTTCATTGACGATGGTAGTGCGGGAGAGAGTGAGAGTGAGAGTGTGGCTGTGAGCGGTGGGAGTGGGTTCGAGGAGGGAGGAGAGAGTGTGGTGATGGGTAGTGGGGGTGGGAGGGGAGAGGGAGGAGGAGAGAGTGTGGTAATGAGTAGCCCTAAAGGCATGGCTGGCCGCCAAAACTGGCCGTCTCCAGAAGTGGCACAGGGAGGGAGAGCAGGCAGAGCGGCTGGGAGCGGTGAGGACGGGTGGAGCAACACCAAGCGCTGGGCAGAGGACATAAGAGCAAGGTACGAGCAGGAGAAAGATCCTGATGTGAGGGAGGTTATTCAACAGCTAGGGAAAGACCTCCCTAGTTGGCTATCAGAGGAAGAAATTCAATCTGCCCCTACTCTCTCGCAGCTTGTAGCAGCAGGGAAGGGAGGGGGGGATCCGAAGCAGCGGGCAGCAGTGAAAAGTTTCCTCAAGAAGGTTCGGGAGGAGAAGGAGAGGTTTGGCGCCGAAGCTGTGGCGGAGAAGTATCTGGAGCAGGCTCGGGATGCGGAGGAGGAGGAGGCTCGGAGGAGGGGTGTGGTTCGGCCAGACCTGGATCGGTTGTGGTGGCTGGACCTTCAGGCTGTGTGGGTGAGTAAATCATGCATTCCGTCCTCCACTAATGAAAGGAAGAAAGCAGCATGCGCTTTCCTGTCCCTACTTGGCTCCTTCCTCCACTGCCCCTCTTCCTTGTCGCCCCATCCCCTACCTCTCCTGTTCCTTCCCCCTTCCCATTCCTTCTCTCTTTTTTCTCCCTGCTCCGCTCCTTGTGGGTTGTTGCGTGACCCTGCTGTCCCTCCCTTGTCTTCTTCCGTTCCTCCCCTCCCCAGGTTGTGATGATAATGAGATGGAGCAGCAGCAGCAGCAGCAACAACAACGGTCAGCATGTGCAGAGAGTGCCCTACTCGTTCCAGCTCCCCCCCGACTGGGGCTCTGACCGCTACACCGGTGCCACTGCTGCTGCTGCAGCAGATGATGCGTGGATAGTGGTGGGGTTTGAAGACGTGGTGGATGCAGCGCGGTTCAGTGAGGTGCTGCGCGTGTGGCTGCTGGCTCACCCAGAGGAGCTCGAGGGGGAAGGAGAGGAAGAGGAGGAGGGAGAGGCGGCTGGTGGTGTGGCAGTGGAAGTGAAAGCAGTGCCGTGCGCGCCCAATGTGAGTCTAGTCTTGTGTGTGTTCTCTTTCACATCATAGAGCGCGGTTCAGTGAGGTGCAATCTATCCATCTCCAGGAGCTCTGCTCGAGTGCCAGAGACGCAGGGCACAGCATTCTGGTGCTGCAGCTGCAGCTGCCGGCTATTGATGAGCCTTCCCCCGACATCTCTCCCATCATTCCCTCTTTTCTATCCGCAGGGGCTCTACTCTTTTGCTAAACACGCAGGGCACCGCATTCTGATGCTGCAGAGGCAGCAGCTGCAGCTGTCAGCGATCGACAAGCCGTTTGCTGACTGACGTCCCTCCCATCTTCCCCTCGTCATCTGTGCCCAGGAGCTCTACTCGAGTTCAAGGGGTGCAGGGCACAGCATGCTGGTGCTGCAGCGGCAGCAGCTGCAGCTGCCGGGTATCGACGAGCCGTTCCCTGACGTCCCTCCCATGATTGCCGTCTCTCCGTCCTTCCGGTGTTCCTTTCTATCCATCTCCAGGAGCTCTACTCAAGCGCTAAAGATGCAGGTCACGAAATCCTGGTGTTGCAGCGGCAGCGGGTGCGGCTGTCGGCTGTCGACAAACATTTCCCTGAGGTCCCTCCCATGATCCCCTCTTATCTGTCCGCAGGAGCTCTACTCAAGCGCGAAGGACGCAGGGCATAGCATTCTGGTGTTGCAGCGGCAGCAGCTGCAGCTGTCGGCTATCGACGAGCCTTTCCCTGAGGTCCTGGCGAGGCTGTGCGACGCTGCTGCTGCTGGGGAGGACGGGAGGACGGGAGCCCGAGGGCCGTCGACGGTTGATCTTGGACCGTTGATCGCTCGTGCTGGGAGGAGTGGAGAATGGCGGTAGGCAGTGATCGCATGAGCCTTTACCTGACGTCCTGCAAGGCAGCGTGATGCTGCTTCGTCTGGGGAGGACAAATGAGCCCAATGAGCCTTAACCTGACGCCCTGGCAAGGTTGTGCAGTGTGCGATGCTGCTTCTAGGGAGGATGGACGGAGAAGAGCCGGAGACTGTTGTTTGTTGGTGCAGGGAGGAGTGAGAAAGGCGGTAGATGGGAGAGATATGTTGTACTTTAAAATCGCTAATCATTCAGTTGATGGGTAACGCATTTTAGGACGCTGCTGGTGCTCGTGCCGCAATGCAGAACAATAGTTATCCCAGGGGGTTTGCAATATCGGGTGTGAATTGTTGGAGGGCACGCGCGCCCTTGTCGGCAGGCACGAACGACCAGACCCATCGAGCCTCTTGGTTTGATCAGACCTCGAGATCATCGGTCCCAGAATTTCGCAAAAGGGTGTAACCTGTTTTCGCTAGCTTGAATGGGATCGCAAACTCAGCCACCAGCACATTCAAATCTGGTCAGTCTGACTTGCTGAGGCTCAGCAGGATTTAGATTCTACTCATGGTTCCTCGGATCAATGGTTGCTGAAGCTAGGGAGCCGCTAGTAAACTCGTCGACAACCTCTGCTGTTTTGCCCCCCGTCCTCCATCCGTCGCACTGCTGTCTTAATTCCGTCGCTTAGTCGTCTTTTGAAAGCCCGTCACGCGTGCGACCATGTCGGACACGAGCTTCTTAGCCTTGATATCGTAAGATATCGTAAGTTCCATCCAATTACGATATCGAGGACACGCTCCTGCGAATCTATTTAAAAGTTCCATCCAATTACGCAAGCTCATTGCCTGCTTCGGGATTGCGAATCTCATACTCGCTACAGTCCGAAAGTCCAGAGTTCGATATAAGCTGGTAATTCCTAATCGCTGTAGGGTAGAAAGCTTGGCCAAACCGGAGAACACGTCGTCCTTGCATTCGAGATAGTTCATTCTCAGTTTCAAAAACGACGTAGATGATTATTACTGTACACTAGTAGTGTTCCAGAGAGTACCGATTCGTTATTATCACTCCGCCTTCACTAGGTGCCGAACAATAATCACCGCCAGCCATGAGAGGCCTTCGCCGGCAAGTGGCTCACGGGCCGACGACGCGAGCCATAATTATCCTCGTTATTGGGCTCTTCATCATCAGCTTCTGCTCTCGCCCGCGCGAACACTACCGGCGTCTGAATGCCATAGGAAGGTGCGGCTAGCTGTGCCTGACAGGGCAATAAAGGGTGACTGGGAACTAGTAGCTAGAAACTAGCCGCTAAAATCTAGTGGCTGGAAACTAGTGCTTGAAGATGGTGACAGGTGGCCAGCAAAGCTTGTCCAGACTCGCTGTTTCTTTTGTTGCACTCTCAGCAGGTGTCGTGAATTTGCTGATTTTCAAAACACTGACAGGCGTCCCCATTGACGTTCTCTTGAGCACGTGTCAGTTAAGCTCCTCCCCGTATTATCCTCCCCCTCAGGCGTGGTTCGCTCAATGATGTTCGCCTGCTGCGAGGCTCCCATAGGGGCAGCGGCAGCAGCAGCAAGGGGAGCACAAGCACTTTCGAACTCTTCTTCAGCCGTTATTCCCTCTCCTCTCTCCCTTACCCTCTGTCCACGTTTCCCAGGCGTGGTTCCTTTGACGACGTTCGTCTGCTGCGAGGCTCCTATAGGGGCAGCGGCAGCAGCAGCAAGGGGAGCACAAGCACAGTGCGCAGGCATGGGGCCGCAGTGGCAGGAGGGGGGGGAGCAGGGGAAGCGAGAGGTGGGGATGGCGGAGGAGGAGGAGGAGGAGGAGGAGGAGGAGGAGGAGGAGGAGGAGGAGGAGGAGGAGGAGGAGGAGGAGGAGGAGGAGGAGGAGGAGGAGGAGGAGGAGGAGGAGGAGGAGGAGGGGCCAAAGGAGGGCGGGAGAACGCGATTCATGTGATGCTGACTAGTAACGGGTCTCCTTATATGAACTGGCAGTCGCGAATCATGTACTACACGTACCTGCAAGTGAGTGGGTCAGAATAAGCCTACAGTACACTTGAGAACATGTGATGCTGACTAGTAACGGGCCTCCCTGTATGAAGTGGCTGTCACGAATCATGTACTTCACATGAATTGGCTGACATGATTCGTGAGACGGGTTCATACATGTGATGTCTCAGTGGGCTCGAGTGCTTTTCCTTAAGTGCTGCACCCGTCAACTGGAGAAGGGAGAGGGGTGAGAGGGGCTCTGTCACATGCACTTTCCACTGATTTTCCGCCCCCTCCCTCCACCTTCTCCCCCCTTGCACCATCCCATCAGGTGGCGAATCTTACCCGGCGTGACATGAAGCCCTTCACGCCAGTGCTGCACCGACCATCAGTGCTCTATCGCGCCCCTTTGCCTGTGTGTGTTTCTCTCCCCCCTCCCCCCCCCCCCCCCTCCCCGCATCACTCTCAAACCATCAGGTGGCAAGTGTATTCGGCAGTGACATGTTGCAATTCACCCGAGCACTGCACCCGTCAACAGTGGAAGATTGAGTTGAGAAACACTCCTAAAATCAATCTCGCATGTGTCTCTTCCCCATCCACCTCACTATCACCCCTTCAGGTGGCGAGTCTGCCGGGCTGCGACATGAAGCACTTCACTCGAGTGCTGCACCGGTCAGCAGTCGCAGGGTAAGAGACACTCTTTCAATCTTGCCTGTGTCTCCCCCCACCCCCTCCCCTCTCTTCCCTCGCATCACTATCACCCCCCATCAGGTGGCCAGACTACCCGGCAGCGACATGAAGCACTTCACTCGAGTGCTGCACCGGTCAACGGACGATGCGCTCATGGACGTCATGCACACGGTATGCCATGACATGGGGTGGGATGGATAGGATGCTGGATTCACATGGCAGGATACATGCTGCACCGGTCAACAGATGATGCGCTCATGGGCATCATGCACACGGAATGCCATGGAATGGTGGTATGGGGTGATGGGCGCGCCACATGCGAGTTCACATGGTAAGGTGAATGACTGACCAGTGCTGCACCGGTCAACAGACGATGCGCTCATGGATGTCATGCACACGGTATGTGGGGCATGGGATGGGATGGATGGCGTGGGATGATGAATTCGTTCACATGGCAGGGTGGCCGATACTTGCTGCACCAGTCAACAGACGATGCGCTGATGGATGTGATCATGTGGTGCACACGGTAGGGCATGGATTGGTATGATGAATCGACATGCTTCAGTGCCATGCGTATGCATGAGATGCACAATGATAGGGTGGGTGACAGGGGATGGTCGGTAGGTAGGTGGATGGCATCTGATGAAATTGTCAAGGTGATGTTCTTATGAGTGAGACGCACACACGGTAGGGTGGGTGAGGACAAGTAATCGCATGGTGCTGTACTTTTACATGTGACACCTGGTGCTGGTGCGCGTACCACGTGGCAAGCCGCCCCTACGCCAACCAGCAGTAACTGGAGTCAGCCTGCCAGACTTTCACATGCATGGCTGTCCTTTGCTCTCCCCTTGAACCATTCAGATCCGCGTCAATCCTCAAGACCCCACATGTGACACGTGGTGCAGGTACCCTGTGGCCAGCCGCCCCCACACCATCCATTCATGCTCGTTTCGTCGCCCCTTCCATCTTTTCCTGTCTCCCTCACGTCCGTGTGAAGCCTCTCGACTCGACCCCACGTGCGAGTGTGACACCTGGTGTGAGTACCCAGCGGCAATCCGCCCATACACTGTTCGCACATGCTTGTTTCTTCCGCCCTTCCATCGTTTCCTTTCCCCCGCAGGTTCGTGTGAAGCCGCTAGACCCCACGTGCGACAACTGGTGCGAATACCCCGTAGCCAGCCGCCCCTACGCCATCCAGCAGTGGCTGGAGTCAGGGGATGTGAAGGGCGACTGGATATTCATGATCGAGACTGACTATATCTTTGTCAAGTAAGCTTATAATGGGAATGTGAGGCTAGTAGCAGGGCATGCCATCCAGCAGCGGGTGGAGTCCGGATATGTGAAGGGCGACTGCATGTGTTCATGATTGAGATGGACTATGTCATTGTCAAGTGAGTTTATACTGGGGGTTTGCCGTGAGGATATGACATGACGATACACGGGTTTTGGGAGTGCTTGTTTTGTTTCGACTGCCAGCGCCCTGAGGGCTGGGGTGGGCCCGCCACCACTTCCCAACACTTCTCACCATCCGCACCAGTCTTCACCTCGTTGTCCCGTCCATCTCCCCAGCCAGGGCCCATCCCCCCTGCAAGCAAGAAGGGGGGACAAATTGGTGTTTAGTCAATATTAAACCACTAAACTGAATAAAACTGTAAGAATACCTCGGTTTCTTATCTATGGAAACCCCCCCTCTCGGACTCTCCCCCCCCTGATCCCCTCTTCCCTCCCATTCCCAGGCCAGTCTCCATTACCCCCGCAGGCAGGGCGCTCGGGTTTCGCTTTGATTACATCAAGACCACTCATACTTGCCTATCATTCCCCCCATCCCCATCCCATCCCCCTCCCCCTCCCCATCTCCCTCCGCATCCCCCTCTTCCCCCTGCAGGCCAGTGTCCATCCCCCCTGCAGGCAGGGCCCTCGGGTTCCCCTTTGACTACATCGCCCCCCAAGACCCCGCCCTCCTGCCCTTCATGCGCAGGCAAGCTCTAGACTGTTTTGCTTGACCCTTTTCTTATACTCTCTCCATCTGCTCATCTTGTAGATAAAGCCGTATGTTGCCCTTTCATTTTTCGTTTGTCCTCTCCTTCCCCTCCTCGTAATAAACCACTTGTTGTGCAATTCTCATGCCCAGTATAAAGAACTTTGATTCGTAATGCTTGCATCGCTTGTCGTTACAGGTACTACCCAGAGCCGTATCGAATCGAGGACGTTCCAAGAACGGGCAATGCACCAACGATCATGCGATATGATGAGATGATGTGAGTTGGCGGGTGTAGCCATTTTATCTCGACTATGCACATGTGTGATGCGACACATGCTGCTCCCACACCCCTCACACCCCTCCCCTCCCCCACAAGACCCCCTCTGTTCTCATCTCATCGCATCTCATCTCATCTCATCTCATCTCATCCCATGCTTGTGGTGTCCACTTCGCGACCATGGACCCGTCACTCATCTCCAACCCTACCCCCTCTCCCCATGCTTGTTCTCATCTCATCTCATCCCATGCTTGTGGTGTCCACCCAATCACTCCAACCCCCCCTCTCCCCATCCCGTTCCCCTGCTCTCCCCCTTTCTGCCGACCTTTTTCCCCCAGGCGGGTGGTGCCCATATGGGTCAACGTGACAGCTGGCATCGAAGGCAACGCGGAGAGCAAGGAGAGGTTCGGGTGAGTGGGTGGGTGGCCCGGGCTAGAGGTCCGGATGTATCTGTGGTTCGGGAGAGGTTTGGAAGTTCAGGAAGGTTTGTGTATGTTCTTTGTGTAGCTGGCATGGGTTGGAGGTCAGGATGTATCTGTGGTTGAGGAGAGGTTTGGGAGAGGTTCGGATGAGTGATTTTGTGGCTGGCATGGGTTAGTGGTTTGACATAGGTTGCATTGGTGCATAGGAGGAAGTCTCGGCTGAGCTCTGTTGAGTGCAGTGAAGGATTGCTATGACCTTCCTGTTGATTGCAATAATACTCTCCCCTCTCAGCAGTTGGGTGCGGTAAATGCACGCATTCCCCCCCTCCTTCTGTTAAACCCATCCCCCCCTCCCCCCCCCAAACCCCACCTCCCACTCCCACCTTTACAGATGGGTGTGCGAGATGTATGCATTCTCCATCTCTGTTGCCCCTGCTGGGGTGAAGATCGACCTTCCTCTCAATGTGAAACCTTCCCTTCCTTAACAAACCAACCCCCCCACCCCCTCCATCCGCCCACCTCCAAAACAGGTGGGTGCGGGAGATGTATGCCTTCTCCATCTCCAGTGCACTAATCTGTAAACCCCCCTCCTCCCGTTACCCAAACACGCCCCTCCCCCCCCCCGCTTCCCACCTTTACAGGTGGGTGCGGGAGATGTATGCCTTCTCCATCTCTGCTGCACTGGCAGGAGTGAAGATCGACCTTCCACCCATGCCACATGCCATCATGAGCCAGGTGAGAAGACATGGTGATATGCGGTGATATGGGGTGATGAACGGTGTAATGAGATGCATCCATCACAGATGATATTATGATCCCTGTACGTGATCTTGTGTCATATGATGGTACTTCACGGTATGGGATGGGATGGGAGGGGACAGGATGGGAGGGGACAGGATGGGAGGGGAAGTATGGGGCATAAAATCTTTACTCATCCTCCCGCCCTCCAACTCTCACACCTTTCGACATCTCAATCCCCCCATCCTCTCACCCTCCCCATCCTCTCACCCTCCCCATCCTCTCGCACTCTCCTCCTCCCGCCTCCTCCCCTCCTATGACTCTTCCCCTCCATTCCCCACACCCACCTGCAGCCCCCAGCGGACAAGGTGGTGGGCGATGCTGCTCTGCTGCACTACACATGGGGCAGTCAAATTAAAGTATGAGGGAGCAATTTTGGTAGGGAGAACAAGGTATGGTGGAGGGAGCAAGGTATGGCACATGCCATTATGATATCAAGCCCCCAGTGGACAAGGTGGTGGGCGATGCTGCGCTGCTGCACTGCACATGGGGCAGCCAGATCAAGGTGGGGGAGAGGGAGAACACGGTGTATGGGTGAAAGAAAGGTAGCAGCAGAGAAGGTGGTGGGCCATGCTGCTCTGCTGCACTGCACATGGGGCCGCCAGATCAGGTGCGAGGGGGGGCGAGAATGGTGGGGAGAACAAGGTTTGGCTTTAAACCACTCCATTCTTTGTGCTGCCTGTCGTTAAAGTATGTTTTGGGGCCCTTCTGTCTCTTGTACTTGCTTCTCCTCTCGCCAGGACTGGAGTGGCAACGTAATCTGGGAGTTTGGACCTTGTCTTTCCTTGTCTTTCCTTGTCTGGGAGTTCGTGTCTCGTGCCATGACCCCTGTCTTTCCTTTTCCTTCTCTCCGCTCCGCTCTCCCTCCCTCCCTCCCACCCGCACACCCGTCTCTTCCACCTCATGACTAAAGCGGCAGCGTGATACGCGAGGTTGACCAGCGCAAGTGCCTGTCTCATGTCACACCCCTTCTCTTGTCTTTCCTTGTCTTCTCTTGGCTTTCCTTCGCGCTCATTCTCTTCGTCCACCACCAGGACTGGAGCGGCAATGTGATCTGGGAGTTTGACAAGCGCAAGTTCACAGACAGAGGCTTACCGGACCCTGTGCCTGAGCCCCCAGCAGGGAAGGTGAGAGAGGAAGGGCTGGTGAGGGAGGGGAGTTAGGGTAAAGGCACGAGTTAGGGTTTTGAGACGACTCAGAAGTTGCCTCCAGCGGGGAAGGTGGGATAGGAAGGACTGGTGGGGGAGGGGAGTTAGGGTACAGGCGCGAGTGAGAGATAAAGAGAGGTGATTGAAGGCGTGCACGACTGCTGTGTGGTTGCACTCGTGTGTCTGCATGTGTAGGCGTGCACATTTGTGTGTGCACGCGTTTGCCTCCTTTCCTGTTCGCCCGCCAGGTGTCGGAGTCCCAGCCGGTGCTTGTAACGAAGGTGAATGAGGCGATTGAGCAGCTGCCCTAGTACACTCTGAGGGGAGCTGAGGGCAGTGGGGCGCAGCCAGGAGGAGATCGCCGCTACAAAACATTTTCTCTCTTGGGGTCGTGATAGGGAGTGGCGGGCCAAGGGGCACAAGCAAGCACGAGCAGCAGCAAAGGGGAAGCGCCTTCCTCTTCCGTTTATGCCTTCTGGTCCACATCACCCTTCCCTCCCCTCTCCCCTGCCAGGCGTCAGAGTCCCAGCAGGTGCTAATAAAGAAAGTGAATGAAGCTATCGCTAACCTGCCCAAGTACACTCTGAGGGAGCTGAGGGAGATGGGGCGCGGTGAGGAGGAGATAGGCGCCTATGACAGGGAGTGGCGGGCCAAGGGACATGAGCCGGAGGGGGCAGGAGGGGGAGGAAGGAGCGGAGGAGAAGGAGGAGAAGGAGAAGGATTAGGAGGGGAAATGAAGCAGCAGCAGCAGCAGCAGCAGGGGGGTCTAGGACAAGGCAGGGCAGTGGGGCAAGGAGGGGCAGTGGTGGCAGATGTGGCCAAGCCTGTGGTGGTGCCTGGGCGGCTGGAGCAAGGGGCGATCCATGCGATGGTTACCAGTAACGGCAATCCCTATATGAACTGGCAGACGCTGCTCATGTTCCACACGTACAATAAGGTTAGAGGGATTAAAGGGCTCAGAGTTTGGGGTTTGGGGATTCTAGGATTCAAGGGGAGCATCTATGTGATGCAGGTGGCACCTCACCAGGTGGCATCTGAACCAGTCAACAACCTGTTTTTCTTCGAAGGCCCTTCTTCCCCTTCCCTCGCCAGCCCCGCCTCCCCTTTCCCTCCCCCATTTTTTCCTTCGTTCCTCTCGCTGCAGGTGGCATCTGAGCCGGGCAGCAACCTGCGTTTCTTCACCCGAGTGCTGCACCGCACTAAGGATGACGAGCTCATGCACCTGGTGCCCACTGTGAGTCGTGCGCTAATGTGTTGATAGGCAGCACTGCTTCCTCCGTTCTATGGGCAGCAACCTCCGCTCCGAGTGCCCGAGTGCCGCACCGCACTAAGGATGACGACCTCGTGCACCTAGTGCCCACTGTGAGTGGATTGTGCCTAATCTGAGTGCACTTAGAGCCTGGAGCCAGTGATTTGATGACAATTGAGTGCACGTGCAACAACCCTGTGTCTTCCACTAAAAAACCAACACACCATGCACTGAGCCCGAGCCTGAGCCCGAGCCTGAGCCTGAGCCTGAGCCTGAGCCTGAGCCCGAGCCCGAGCCCAAGCCTGGGCCTGCCGCACTCCCCCCCATCGATACTGCCTCCTCTTCATTTTTGTTTCTTCAGGTGCGTGCGAGTGCGACCCTTTTCATTGCTTTTAGCCCCTCAGCTTCGAGTGCGACCCTTTTCATTGCTTTTAGCCCCTCAGGTTCGAGTGTGACCAATTTCTTTGCCTTTAGCTTGTGAGGTGCGAGTGCGACTACTGGAGCCCAACTGCGACGCCTGGTAGAATTTGCTTCCATGACACCAGGGTGTCTGACAGCCTGGTGTGTTGGCCGTGGCTCTAACGCCCTTCTACTGCGTTTCCATCTCCCCTTTGACCGCGCTTATCCTCTCAGGTGCGAGTGCGACCACTGGAGCCCAAGTGCGATGACTGGTACGCTGCCTGTAGAGAGCGCGCTATCGTGCCACTTTCATTCCTCTGAACCCTCTGATCATCAAAATAAAACCAGCTGGATTCAATATGCATCTTGACTTACAGCTGAATTTCCATGAATAGGCTTAAAATCACAAGTAGAAACGAGGGCTTGCTCAGTCGTGGTCTTTAAAACATCGCGGGTTACTGCCAACCAGGAGTTGACTACCCTCTGTTTGATGAATGGAGAAAGTTGTTATCAGCTCCTCTTTCCTTTTCCCTTTTCCCCTTTCCACCATACGTTCCCTTTTGAGTTGACTCAAAAACTTTCCTTTTCCCTTCCCACCATACGTTCCCTCCCTGTGCGAAACAGATCGCCCCTACGCCATCCACAGCGAGATTCAGTCAGTGCCTTGTCCCGGCCCATCCCCGCCCATCTCCGCCCATCCGTTTCCCCTCTGTCCCATCCATACAGGTGCGAGTATCCAGTAGCCGATCGTCCCTACGCCATCCATGAAGGGTGAAGAGTCCAAAGATGTGAAGGGTCATCCCAGAGAATATGTCACTCTAACCACCCAGCTATACCTCTCCTCCTCTTCCCCCTCTCCTTCTCTCCCTCTTCGCTTCCTCCCCTCTGCCCCATCCAGGTGCGAGTATCCAGTAGCAGATCGTCCCTACGCCATCCAGCAGTGGCTGGAGTCTGGCGATGTGAAGGGCGACTGGGTGTTCATGATTGAGACGGACTACCTCTTCATCAAGTATGCTTTTTGGGGGGATATCTACCTTATAACGGGAATATTCGTATGGTGGGGATGCATGACTTGGGCGACAGATATTCGTGATTGATATGGATTACTTGCCAATAGCGGGTTTATGAGGCTTACAGTGGTTTTATGAAGCTTTTTTGTGTGTGGGGACATGAAGCTTATAGGGCGAATGATATGGGGTCTTTTCTGTTTTGCAATCGAGACGGATTTCCTTTCGTCAATCAAGCTCGCCGTGTTTGCAGCCGTTTCAAAACCGTGTGATGCCAATGGAGTTTCAAGAAGATAAGGAAATGGAAGGACAACAAATATCTGCCCCTTTTCTTGTTCCCCCCTCCACTCCACCACCCGCGCCACCTATCCCTGGCTCTGGTCATGAGGACGGGGCTCGGAATTAACCCTTTGGAAACATCATCCGTTGCTCTGCAATAACAGGGGCCGTTGCCCTTCCCGTGCTCCCACTCTCTTGTGCCCCTGTCAGGCCAGTGCCGATTCCCCCATCGGGACGAGCCCTGGGGTTCCCGTTTGGGTACATCATCCCCACCTACCCCTCCATCCACCACATCATGATCCGGTGAGCTGTGCTCTCAGGTGTACGTATCATGGAATGTGCTCTCAGGTGTACGGATCATGGAATGTGCTCTCAGGTGTACGGATCATGGAATGTGCTCTCAGGTGTTCGTATCATGGAATTGTTCTCAGTTGTACGTATCATGGAATGTGCTCTCAGGTGTACGTAACATGGAATGTGCTCTAGACGTCTACAAAAGCATTAAAAATAGTGCTGCACATACTTGTAATATTTTCTTTCCTAGAACCGTTATTCTCCCTTCCCTCCTTCATCACGCATCCCTTTCCTCCTTTCGTTTTCTCGCTGTCCATCTCTTCATCCCACCACAGCCACCTCTCTTCTCTCCACCTTCTTCCATCTGGGATAAGTTGGTTTTCAGAACTATAAATTTACCCCCCTCCCCCCCCCCTCCTCCCTCCTCCTCCCCCCTCTCCCTCCTGCAGCTACTACCCTGGCGACCTGAAAGAGATACCCCAAACTGGCAATGCACCCGTTCTCGCCCCTACTGCCGATCTTGCGTGAGTAGCACTCTTGTTGTGCCAACTGCTGTCTCTTCTGACAATGTATCTTGTCCTTGAGAGTTTTTTTGCCTTAGAGCACAACTTGTTGCTGTTGTTTTTATATTCTTTACTGTTGTTATCTTCTATGATCATGACATATCCTGCATGTAATCGTTTTGTTCTAGCAGTCTCTCTTAATCCCTGCCTTCTCATTTGCTGTTGAGTGAAAATCACAGTCCGATTTGATTGGAACCCAGCTGCTTGTTTCCCCATCACAATACACAACCCCCTCAACACCGCCTCACAACCCCTCACAACCCCTCACAACCCCTCGTCTCAACCCCCACCCGTCGCGTGGTGCCCATATGGGTCGGGTCGACATCGCAGCCAGTTTCGATTTCTCCTCCCACCTCACAACCACCTCACACCCCCCCCCGTCTCAACCCCCACAAGTTGTAGTTCCCACAAGGGTGCGCATCACAGCAGGATTCAAACTCCACACTTTCGTTTTTCCCTGACAGGGTTGTTGTAGGTCCTCTAATAGAATCCTCAAAAGAGCCCCCCATCCCACCCCCCCATCCCAGCCCCCACCAGTCGTGTGGTGCCCACCCGTATGGGTCCCTTGTTGCCTTCCCCTCACAACCACCTCACAACCCCTGATCCCAACCCCCCATCAAAACCCCCCATCCCAACCCCCCATCCAAACCAACCCCCCATCCCAACCCCCCATCCAAACCAACCCCCCATCCCAACCAACCCCCCATCAAACCCCCCCATCCCAACCCCCCATCCCAACCCCCCACCCCAACCACCACCAGTCGCGTGGTGCCCATATGGGTCGACATCACGGCCCGATTTGAAAAAGACGAAGAAGCGAAGAAGGATCTCGGGTAGGTGATGTGAGGGAGGTAGGTGGGGGGGTAGGTGTTGGGAGAGGGGTACGTGTTGGGAGGGGGTAGGTGTTTGGGAAGAGGGTAGGTTTGGGGAGGGGGGGAGGGGGGGAGTAAGGAGAGAGGGCAGGGATGAGTTTGGGGAGGCGAGCTGGGGAAGGGAATGGGGCTGCCAAGAAGTACCTGGGGGGGGAGATAGAATGCGGGGAGAGAGAGAGGGGAAGGGATGGGAAGGGGGGCAGGGCAGGGGAGCGGAAGGGAGGGGAACAGAGGGGAGGGGACTGGAGGGAAGGCGTAGGTGTGACTCCAATCACAGCTGCTGCGGTGGAGTCTGTCTAATCCATCGCAGCAGCTGCCGCCTTTCTGAACCTGCCTCTCTGCCTTCAAGCAGTCCGTGCTTTATGCCTTCACGCAGCCCGTGCTTTCTGCCTTCAAGCAGTCCGTGCTTTCTGCCTTCTCACCGCCTCCCCCGCCCCCTATAGGCCACTCCCCCGCCTCACTCTCGCAGCTGGGTGCGGGAGATGTATGCCTTCTCCATCGCTGCTGCTCTTGGCAATTCCTTCTACTCTGTCTCCCCTCACCTCCCCCCTCCCTCCCTCCTTTCAGCTGGGTGGGGGAGATGTATGCCTTCTCCATCGCAACTGCACCGTCATTCCATGTCCCCATCTCATTTACAGCTCATTTACCTGTCTCATGTATAAATGGGACATGGAATGGGACATGGAATGAGGGAGGGAGGCATGTATGTCTCATTTATAGCTCCTCCCCTCCCTTCCTCTCCCCTCCCCTCCCATCCTCTCTCTCCCCGCCTCACTCTTGAAGCTGGGTGCGGGAGATGTATGCCTTCTCCATCGCTGCTGCTCTGGGCAAGATGCCCATTGACCTGCCGCTTGTGCCGCATGCCATCATGGTGCAGGTGAGGTGTATGTGGATGGGGCATCATGGTATTATGGCTGGTGCCCCATGCCATCATGGTGCTCCATGCCATCATGGTGGTATCATGGTGGGATCGAAATGGTGAGATGGAAGTGATGGGATGGGTACGGGGTGGTTGGGCAAGTGCTGCTTGTTGTGACGTGACGTTTTTCTCTTGCCCTCCCTTTAGCCCATCCGCTCACCCCTTCCCTCCACTCGCCCCTTCCCTCTGCTCTCTCAAGCGGTCCTTTGTATGAATGATACCGGTGTATATGCTAATCCAGCGAGGTAAGTACAAATAAGGACATCAAGGACTACCTGGACCGCATCCTACTGGAGCTCCCCCCAGGGCTCAATCATGGCACGGCAAAGCAATCCCCAGGCAAAGCAGTCTCTCAAGCGGTCCATATGTTATTGGAACCTGGGTACAACCGAGACAAGCAGTCTCTCGTGCTCTATTCGCCAAAAGTTATTTCTTAGATTCGAAAAGACAACTCTCTATTCTCCCGTTCTGCCATCTAATGGAGGCGGGTACTCCTCATTCTCCCGTTTTCCGCTCCTACAGCCTTGAGCAGAACCTGTTGTATGAGATACCGTCGTTTTGCGTTACACATGGGATATACAGTCGCTCCCACCCCTTCTCTCGTACCCTCATTCCTCCCCTTGCTTTCCTCCCCTCTTCTTCTCTCTACATCCTTTTCCAATGCCTCTTTATGCAGCCTCCAGCTGACTCGGTTATAGGAGATGCAGCCATAATCCATTACACCTGGGGCTACGAGTTCAAGGTACCATGCAGTGTTTGAGTCTAATTATCAACGTCTGGGAGGTGGGGTGGGGTATCAAGACTTGGTAGGAAGACTCGTTTTTTCTCCTGCCCCCTTTCTGCCCCTCTCGAATGCCCCCACCTTGTTTTGCTTTCCCTGTTCCCCTGGCTGCAACGCCACTGCTCTTTTTGCCGAAGTACCACCAACCCCTGCTGGTACTCCTCCCTTCCTCGTTCCCCCATTACCCATAGAACAAAGCCAACAAGGTAGTGTGGCAGTATGGGAAGAGGGTTTACACGAAACCAGGCAAAGTACCACCAAACCTTCTGCCCCTTTTGAGGGGCCTGAAATTCCGTCCCCTGCCATTTTCTTAAATCAACTCTCCTCCCCCCCTTTCCGTTCCCCCCTCCCTCCTCCCTAGGACGAGCCAACAAGGTAGTGTGGCAGTTTGGCAAGCGGGATGACATGCAACCAGGCCAAGTGCCACTGTTCCTTCTGTCCCCAGTTGATGCCTCAAACTCCGTCCCTTGCCCTCTTTCTACTCAACTCTCTCCCCCCCCCCCCCCCACCCTCTTCCGTTCCCCCTTCTCCCCTCCTCCTCAGGGGAAAGCTGACAAGGTAGTGTGGCAGTTCGACAAGCGGGATTACGAGAGCTGAAGCTGCCCGGCCAAGTACCCAGTTTCCCTGTTCCCCCCGCCTGCCCTCTTCTGGCCTCTAAAACTTGGCTGTTCTTCTCTTGTTTCCCCCTAGGATGAAGCCGACAAGGTTGTGTGGCGGTTCGACAAGCGGGATTACACGCAACCGGGCCAGGTGCCACCAATACTTGCCGACCCACCACCAGGGGTAAGCCAACGTGTAGTGAGTATCCGTGCAATGCTGTGTTGCCCATTCCAAATGTGTGGACTGTCGTAGAAGACGTGTGTACACATATGGTTCTGTGCATAACGGGCGGAACACGTTGCAAATACATCCATGTGCAAATCAATTGTACAACCCCGTCTTTTATGTGCCCTGGCCCTTATGCAGAAGGCTTCTGAACTACAATTGAAGATGGTTCGTGTCATCAACGATGCAATCCGCACCGTCTTTTATCCGGGCTCTAGCACCACTGACGAGTCTATCAAACCCTTAGTCGGTTGATGCGATTGCAATGCAATGTTATTTCGATCCATCAATGTGCACACTGATATCTATCGGCGATTCAATGCATGCACGCGTTGTAAGCAACGGAAACTGCAAAGAGAGTTTTGTGGAAGGTTGCAGAAATTGTCACTGATTCACGAGGGCCTTCGCGTGTTTATCATAAGATATGGTGTGGTAAATAGCGGCTGAAGAGGATATCGAGTTGCACTACAGAGACCTCAACTGTGGAAGACCTCACACTGTGGTCAGATCCTACTGGCCCAGCGCCAGCCAGAAACTTCTGGAAACGACCAGACTTGTGTGGGTTTTGCCCCAAACTTTGGACCACTGGCCTGAGGACAAAGAATAACATTTGTCTCCCAGCGCTGCCAGCCAACTGTGGCTGAATTTATCCGCGGAGCGCGCAGCCTGCATTTCGAGGCGCGTCTTTCATGTCGAGTCGCATCCCAATCGGCGCGTTTCCCTCCACTCCTTCCCCACTCACCCCCGTCCCCCCACCCCTCCTGACCTTTCTCCCTCCGCCTGCAGCTCCTCCGCCTCTTTTGTCGCCTTCCTCGCCTCGCCTCGCACTCGATTTCGCCACACACGCGCCATTTCGCCAACGCGCAATCCCGTTGCGCGAATGCGGTCCGTTACCCCAAACCACTCAGCCCTCCCGCACGCGTAGCCCGCTCTTCCCCCAACCACACCTAGCTAGCCACCCGCTTGCGTCCTTCCCACCTGCCCCCGCAGCTTTGCTCCCCCACTCTCTCCCCCCCAGCCCCCTCCTCCCCCCCCCCAAACTAATCACAGCAGGAGCGCCTACATAAACCAGCCACCATTGTCCTTCAAACCATCAGCTTTTTCCAAAACCTAATTCGCGAATCTCGCTTTCTTCTTACAACTCTCTCTAGATTCAAACGATCCTTCACCTATTTCCGTAGCAAAGCCATCGGTAGCGCCGTAGACATCAGCGAGCAGCCTGTCTCGTCGACTCCATTGACAACAGCACCGAAGTAGCTCTTAGATTACATTAGCTAATGGCGTTCCCCGCCTTTCCTAGCTTCATCACCCCGTGGGCTCACTCCCTCCTCTACCCAGATACCACTACAACCGCCGATGTGACACCGAAGCGCAAAGCAGATAACGAGCCTTCCGCCTTTCTCGACTCTGCGCTAACGCCTTCCGTTACCGCGCACTCAGAGAAGCGCGCCCGCATTTCCGAGTCTAGCAGCAGCCTCACCAGCTTCCATCCCTCCCTCTCCGTCACCAGCTTCCATCCCTCCCTCTCCGTCACCAGCGCTCCATTCCTCTCCATCCTCGACGGGAAATCGGAGTCCCCCTTATGGTCACCTACCGCATCGCCCCCCGCCAGCTCCCCCCTTTCCTCTCCGCCAGTCTCTCCCCTATCCCTTCCCGCATCCTCTTCCGCTCTCGTCTCCTCCCCCCCTTCCGCCGCGTACCCAGCGCTCCCCCGCCGTCTCAAGGGCGTGCGCCAGCGCAAGTGGGGGCGCTGGGTGACGGAGATCCGCTGCCCGCGCACCAAGACGCGCGTGTGGCTGGGCTCCTACGCGTCCGCGGAGGAGGCGGTGCGCGTCTACGATATGGCGGCACGGATGATCTTCGGCGAAGTTGCGTCGAAGCTCAATCTCAACGCACCCGACGCGATCCCGCGCCCCGTCACCATCGCGAAGAGCATCGCGGAAGCGCTGATCAAGGTGGCGCGCGCCAACACCGGCACAAGCGGCGGCGATGCCTCGTCGGATAATGCGACCGTTGACCTGTCGGCGTTTCGCGGGGAGATGGCCTGCCTGGAGGTGGTCGGACAGAACGTGGTCGTGTCCGAGTGCGCCTTCGCACCGCTCGCACTCACAGTGACGACGAGCTCTGGGCTCACTCCGATGAATCAGAGCGTGTCAACGGACTTAGTCGAACGTAGCTTCGAGACTTCTCAGCTCGCGACTTCTCAGACTGGAACCGCGGGCGCTATTAATGGGGTGGTCACAACCGACAGCTCGTCAGCTTCCGACATGGCGCCATCCGCGCTGTCCCTTATTGAGGAGCTCTTTAACGAGAGCTTCTGCGAAAGCCTGGCGACCCCTGCAGCAGCGCCCCCCTCTGTGTGCGACCTGGGCGATTTCGAGAGCCTGGAGAACGTCGCAAGCCTGTGGGAGGACATGCTTTGAACCTCGAGTTGACGTCTCTCGGGCAGCAGCAGCAGCATCGTCTCACCATTTCCCTCGTTCGCACCGCACTATCAGTCAGCTACAGAGACCTACTGTAGATTACCGTAGTTATAAACTTCCTCCTCGTGGACAGTCATCATGAGACTCCTCCGTTTCCTCCTAGCTCAAACCTGGGACCTCTCTCCCCGTGGTTTACTTACAGGAGCCTCATGATGCCTGTCCACGAGTGATATCTAGTCGCTTGTTTGTTTCCATTATATATTTGATGATGTGCTTTGTGTTTACCCATTAGCCAGTTAAACAAGATAACTTACGCTATGCATTGCATTAATCCAGTGTGTGGGAGCCCAGCAAAAGGGAAAGACCTCTACTTTACATCATTGAACATGCATACATGGGTATGGACATGGGTATATTGAACTTGCATGCAGTGGTAGCCCTCTCAAACTACTTACCTAACTGGGTCTCAAAATTGGATGCTGCACCGACAGGCCCAACCAAGCTCAGGTTACGCTCCTGTCAGCACAGCCATCAGTATAGTAGCCTCACGTTCACAGTGTACTTATTGTAGGTACACAGCAAACCAGCCACTGCTGCTCTCAGCCTGTGCGGATGAAGTGCAGTGAGAAAACCTGGGAATCCCAACTTTTTGACCACAAGGGAAGCTCAAACCACCGCTTGGCCTTGTAGTGCCAGCTGCTGCATCCCTCTCGCCAGCAGACCCACCACAGCAGCCCTCGGCCTGTGCTGGTGGCTCTGATGGCTGAGCGCACGAGAAAACCCCAAGTTCCTTCGATCCAGCTGTGCTGGAAGTTCCAGGTGACTGCTCAACGCAGTGGCTGTAGGAGCACCAGTCCTAGCAGCTGCGGCGGAGGCAACAGCAGCAGCGGCAGCAGCCGATGCTCCAGAATCACTTGAGCACTCTGCAGGGACGCTGAACTGGCGAGAGTAAGCCGCTGTCCACTTGGCAGCAAGGTACTGGTGCCGGCGCCAGGGTGGCACGTGCATGCCCTGGGCGTGCAGTGACAGCCGCATCGCCTCAGATAGAATCTCCACGAGACGGTGTAACCGGTCCGGGCAGCCGACGAAAAAAGCCGGGGTCAGCTGCAAGATGTAACTGTATTGGGGTGTCGGGCGAGCGACTTGAAACTGCGCCCGGAAGTCGAGGTCAACTATGAGCCGCTCTGGCAGACGGTGTGGAGAGGATGAATGTAGGATGACGTCACAGTACTCATGAGAGCCTGCAAGGAAGGAGGGAGGGAAACGAAAAGAGGGGATGGGCGACAGATGGGCGAAAGCAGGACAAAGACACAGCAGGAGTTGGAAGGAGAGCCGGGAGAGGAGGCGGCGGTTCAAGACGAATTCAAGGGTAAATACAACCTGCAAAAATGTGTTTTATTTCATCTAAAATAAGTCTGTATCCAGGAAACGGTTCTTACCGTCAGGCACGCCGTTGGAATAGTCCCACTGAGAGTAGCACACAGCAGCATCGTACCCCCTCCTCCGCAGCTGGTGCACCACCGCGTTGCGAGCACTGCTGCTGGTGCTGCATGTGCTGACGTCAACAGCTGGGGTCCTTGCATGCTCTAAGGCAGCGATGACGACGTCAAACACTGCATATTCCTCGGGGGTCTCACAGCAGCTGAGCGGCTGCAGATGGGACGAAGAAAAGGAGATAAAAACGGAGAGGAGGGTTAAGAAAATGTGTGAAAATAGGCGAGGCTCCGTTGTTACCACCGTGGCAGAATAGGTGATGGCGAAAGCCAGGAAAATTAAATTCGCGAGGGGTAACCAGGCTCAGCTCACTGACCTCGATCATGGAAGCGAGTCGTTCTATTTCGCTGCTCGCGACGCTGGAACCCCGCTGTTGAGTAACATGATGGCCATGGTAACTGGTAAGCCGCTGGCAGTCCTGGCCGTTGCACGAAGCATCTCCACAAAATTGACACCGCCACGTGCCAGCAGGAGCGTCGTACACGTGGCTCTCCCGTTTCTCCCTGACATCTCTCGCTGGTCGTGGGCCGTCTTGCGCTGCCGATGCTACTGACGGTTCGAACGCGGGTTTCCTGGTACCAGCGACGTCGCTGTCTTCCTCGATGAACTCGGACACCATTTCGTCGAGGCAAAACGAGTCGCAGGAGGAGTCGCTTTGCGAGCTGCAGCTGCTGCAAGGGATGTTGCTGCTGACGTGGCGTATCAACTGAAGGCCAGCGATGCTGTCCCACGTGGAATTACCCGTGCTGCTGAAGCCTGATGCCTCCGTGGTGGGTTCAAAACCAGCAGTCTTCCTAGACTCAATATAAGCAGCCTCAACAAAAGCAGCTTCCATTGCTGAAGGTTGGGTCTGGTCGGTTGAATTCTTCACTACAGCGGTGTCAGTGATAGAAGCCAGAGGTGGAAGGAATCTATTGGTCAGGGAGACATGTGCGAGGGAAGCTTGGAACTTGGTCTGGCAGATGGAGGTAGTACTACCCAGGGTTAGGATGTCAAGGAGTCCAGACATGGTAGGCGGACGCTTGTTCCGAGCTCTTCTGGTTGTCTCAGGGGTTCAAAAGATGGAGCTACTGAAGCAGAGATTGCTTGTTCCCGAGCGCTCTGGAGCAGCGAAAAATCTTAAGCTCTAGTACTGTAATTTCAGCCCTGGGAAACACAAGTGTTAGAGAATTCTGCTTTTCTAAGAGAGGCGCCCAGGTCGCACAAGATTGTGAGCTGGAGCATCTGCAAAGAGCAGGACGAATATCCGAACGGAAATTGGTTGCGAGCTGCTGAGTTGCTGACATAGGTCAGAAACGCCAGGACCACACAAGTTGGTTCTGTTATGTAGGCGCCTCAGTGAACGACTGTGTGGATGGATATGAGGAGCTCAGGGAATTGATTGATGATTCTTCATGTCAGGCGACATTTTGGTCGAGTGGCAGAATCCATGGCTGCCGCTGAGACGACGGAAGAACGAACGAACCCGAGAACGGTGAGCTGGATGGCTCCACCTTCGCTTTCTCAAGATTCCACCACTCCCAGCAAAGTGCATGCCGTTGATACCGTACCAGTGGACATTCCTTCAAGATTCGGATGACATGACACGCTCGTCTCGCCACGTGGGAAGCGGAGAGGGGTGATTCTGGCCGCTGCATGACACGGACTCGAGTTGTGGATAACCCTGCGTCATCCAGGTCAAGGGGCATCTGCCCAGAATCCGCGCATTGTAGGGTCGCTCGGTGCGGATTGGCTAGAAACAGTTTTGATGCGGAGGATACCAACCGTACGCGAGGCAGCCCGCCACTGAAGTGGTTGGGAGGATTCTCATTCGCCAGATGCTGGGATGGCCACGTCAGGAATTGTACCCAATGCGGTTTGAAGTGAATGTGACGATCCAACCTCGCGCGGTGCGGGCTCGGTCCGCAACCGGCGTGCGATGAGGGATGCTGGTCGCAATGATGTTGACTTGGACATTCCAGGAGATGCGCCTCGGAATTTTCCATGCGCGCCAACAGAATTATGGGCAGGGTGGAAGGTTACAGTTGCGTTACGCGCACGCGCACCGACATTTGTCAGCCTTGATTTCAGCCAATCCTGCTCGACAAACTCACTGATGATGAGGCAAGGAACAAGGTCCTTGAGGGGCAGACCCATGCCGGACTCATGTGGATTGGACGAAGCCTGCCATGCATGCTGGACCCAATCGCTGGTAACTATGATTCCACTGTCACACGTAAGGCCATCAAGTGTCCACGCAAGGAAATAAAACCCACCAATCCATGCCATTTCACTTCAAGGGGCGGAGGGCTATCCAACTTAGAAATTTCTGAATCCTGTTGCTTGTAACCTAATAAATGCTAGACCCCCCTGATTTCTATCTTTACTTACTGTTCTCTACCTTTTCAAACCAATTAAAGTTACCATGAACATTCCCACTCATTATTCGCTCCACTTTGTATATCACTTTCCCATGTCATAACAGAATGCTGTTAGGTATCTCTACTATCACCCAACCAGGGCTTCAGATTGGATTTTGAGGGGTTGTTGGTGTCAACTTATACATATCATGCATGTAGAAGTTATAGGCTAGTATCGGTGTGTGCTCTTAGTGAGTATAACCCAACTGCTATATGTTCCCTGTTTTCCCTCTAGTAATCCATTCACCTATTCTAACATGGTATCGAGTAGGTTAGGTTCACCCGCCCACACGCCCTAGTCTCTCGTCCACCCCTAGCCAGCCCCCTGGCCGTCGCGTCCGCCCCTAGCTGGCCCCCTGGCCGTCGCGTCCGCCCCTAGCTGGCCCCCTGGCCGTCGCGTCCGCCCCTAGCTGGCCCCCCTGGCCGTCGCGTTCGCCCCTAGTCGGCCCCTTGGCCGTCGCGTCAGCCCCTAGTCGGCCCCCTGGTTGCCGCGTCCGCCCCTAGCCGCCCCCCTGGCCGTCGCGTCCGGCCCTAACTGGCCCCCCTGGCCGTCGCGTTCGCCCCTAGTCGGCCCCTTGGCCGTCGCGTCCGCCCCTAGTCGGTCCCCTGGCCGTCGCGTCCGCCCCTAGACGGCCCCCTGGCCGTCGCGTCCGCCCCTAGCTGGCCCCTTGGCCGTCGCGTCCGCCCCTAGTCGGCTCCCTGGCCGTCGCGTCCGCCCTCAGCTGGCCCCCTGGCCGTCGCGACCGCCCCTAGCCGCCCCCCTGGCCGTCGCGTCCGCCCCTAGCTGGCCCATTGGCCGTCGCGTCCGCCCCTAGTCGGCCCCCTGGCTGTCGCGTCCGCCCTCAGCTGGCCCCCTGGCCGTCGCGTCCACCCCTAGTCGGCCCCCTGGCCGTCGCGTCCGCCCCTAGCTGGCCCCCTGGCCGTCGCGTCCGCCCTCAGCTGCCCCCCTGGCCGTTGCGTCCGCCCCTAGTTCGCCCCCTGGCCGTCGCGTCCGCCCCTAGCTGGCCCCCCTGGCCATCGCGATCGCCCCTAGCCGGCCCCCTGGCCGTCGCGTCCGCCCCTAGCTGGCCCCTTGGCCGTTTGCGCCCGATCCTAGCCGGCCCCCTGGCTGTTCGCGCCCGCCCCTAGCTGGCCCCACTGGCCGTCGCGCCCGCTCCTAGCTGGCCTCCCCCTGGCCCCACGCGCCCGCTCCTGGCCGGCCCACTGACCGTCGAGCCCGCTCCTAGCCGGCCCCAGCAGCGCCCGCCCGGCCCCTCCTCGCGCCCCCCCGGCCCCCAGTCGCGCCTGCCCGGCCGCCCCGCGCGCGCTCGGCCCCTCCTAGCGCCCGTCCGGTCCCAGTGCGACCGCCCGGCCCCTCCTCCTGCCCGCCCGGCCCCTCCTCGTGCCTTCTCGGCCTGCCGTGCCACCTCGGGCCCCGTGTCCTCTGCTAGCCCGCTCTGGGGCACCCCTGCAGTCGCCCTACTAGAGAGTGCTGCCGTCGTGTCCCCGTGCCGCTGTGCTCCTGCCGAGCTGTGGAGCTGTACCGCTGTGTCGCTGAGGAGCTCTGTCGCTGACCCTGCACGATGGCTGACTTCGTGCTCCGCCTGGACGCTGAGGGCCACACGGTTGACTTCGCCGCCTGGCTCTCCGATCTCCGCCGTCAGCTTACAAGTCAGCGCCAGGATGGACACTCGCTGGTTGTCCATGCTGATGGCTTGCTCCCCCGCCCCCCTGCACCTGCTCCCCTCTCTGCTGACCCCACCTCCGCTGAGAGTGAGGCTTTCTCTACTGCTGCGCTTGCCTGTGCGGTCTGGGACTCACGCGATGCAGTAGCTCAGGTTGCTATCAGTCACGCCCTCCCTGTGTCTGGGCGCTCGCGTTTCGCTACGGTAAATACGGCCAAAGCATATTTAGACGATGTTGTTGCTTGCTATTCCACGCCTGCATCCGCTTCTGCCGGCCGCTTGCTCTTCCCGATGTTGTTCCCAGACCTTGCTGCCTTCCCTACTGTTGCAGACTTTGCCACTCACTTGCGTGCCCTAGAGTCTCGCTATCGCACTGCCAGCACTGCTGCCCAGCTCACTGCTCTCCCCCCCCCCCATTCTGCATGACCCTCTATTTTATCGCCATGCGCCTGCCGGACTGCCTAGCTAGTGCCCGCGACCGCTTCCTTAGCCAGCACCCGGGTGACCTTACCCTTACCGCCTTTGTCGACACCCTCACCGAGATCGAGACTCGCCAGCACACTATCGCTCAGTCGAGCGGTGCGCCGGCAGTCTCTATCTTTCATGGCTGTGCCCCCTCCTAGTGCACGTTTACTGACGTTTCGACTGCGGTCGCCACTGCGACCCCTCTTACCGAGACAACTGCTGTGGTCCACCCGCAGCAGCGCCCGCGCCGCGTTGGCCGTGGCCGTCAGGGAGGTCGTGGTGGTGGCGCGGGTGGTGGTGGTAGTGGTGGTGGCGACGGTAGTCCCCCTAAGGGGACTATCACCGGTGGGCAGGAGCAGTCCCAGTCGCCTTCGCAGCAGGAGCAGCTCCCGCAGCAGCCGCCGCCGTCCCAGCAGCAGCCGCCGCAGCCGTGGGCTCGTCTCCCGCCTGGTTGGCCTGGCACCTCCGGAGGTGGTGGCCGTGGTGGTGGCCCGCGCAGCTTGGCGTCTACCAGCAGCTCCGGTGCTGTGACCTGCCAGTACCAGCTTCAGACCGGGCCTCTCCGCGGCACTCTGTGCCGCCGCCCGCACCCGACCGCCCGCTGTTTCCGCCACCTCGACGATCTCTTTTGTCGTAGCTTTGGCCCGGCCCCGGACCTCCCCGACTAGCACAGCCTGCCTCGCCAGGGCGTACCGATCTTTGAGTTAGATATGGATCAGACAGGTGCTGCTTTGCATGCCTTGTATGCTGACGCTTCTAGTGTTGCTGGATCTTATTACCCTGTGTACTCTAATTTAGGTATAGCACCCTTGTGTAGCTTAGCTTCCCCTGCTGCGTCAGGCGTAGGACTGCCTAGGTTGCCTAGCCTCGTTCCTGCACCGGCATCGTCCACGGCCTCTGCGACTGCCTCGCTGTCCTTCACTCTTGACTCCGGTGCTTCTGCATGTTACTTCCGCGACCGCTCCACGCTCACGCCGCTTGCCACGCCTGCTGTTGTCGCTCTCGCTGACCCCTCTGCGGGTCCTACCGTCGCTCGCAGCTCTACTTCCCTTCCCTGTCCAGCCGTCCCCTCGGGCTCCCTTACAGGCCTTCACGTTCCCTCGTTCTCCAGGAACATGGTTGGTATCGGCTGTCTTTAGGACCTCGGCGTCACCACTACGTTCCCTGCGCACGAGCGGTTCGCTGTCTGTACCGAGGCTGTCACAGGTTCCCCCCTTGCGACGTTCCCTCGGGACCTGGTGTCCGGTCTGTTTACCCTCGACACCGCTCCCCCCCCCGGTTGGTGCGTCCTCCCAGGTCGCTGCAGCGTGCTCGTGTCGGTCGCTCACTCACCCATTCCTTTTGTGGCACCACCGCCTAGGTCACCCTGCACTCCCGCGTCTGCGTCACATGTCCCAGCACGGTCTTGTCTGTACTCTTGCTGACTGGTCTTTGGACCCCTGCCTTAGTGGTTGGACTAGTATTGCCACCCCGAGCTGTGTGCTTCTTCCTTGCACCACCCCTTCTCTAGCCTAGGGGGTGTGTCAACTTATACATATCATGCATGTAGAAGTTATAGGCTAGTATCGGTGTGTGCTCTTAGTGAGTATAACCGAACTGCTATTTGTTCCCTGTTTCCCCTCTAGTAATCCATTCACGTATTCTAACAGCTGGCTCCGGGTGCCCCCTTGCAGGAGCCCTTGTTTTTCAGGGTCGGGTTTTGGAAGTTGCAAATTTTTTCCGGGTAAATGTTTTCGAAGGCTGAATGATCA